TATATATATATATATATATATATATATATATATATATATAGTATATATATATATATATATATAGGTTGTATTGCATATTTATTAATGTCAATGTAGTATATATTTTGGTTTGATATATATATAGGTTGTATTGTATATTTATTAATGTCAATGTAGTATAATATTTTGGTTTGATATATATATAGCATTCCTCTGATCTGACAGTTAACTATGTAAATGAATTTCTCTATTAACCTTCATTGAACTGTTAATTTAGGGAATTATTATATTGATTAGATTCAAGTAAATGAAACATTTGCAGTCATTTTACAATAATTACAATATTGCTTTTGCCAAGAAGCAACTTCTTTTACACAGTGAAAAATCACAGGATGAACAGATTATTGTCTTAATCCATTGACTAATGAATTAATGTGCAATGAATTGATTTTGATGATAAAAGGATTCTGCATTAAAACCCTAATCAGCATCTCAGCTAGACCAAAACATAGTGTGTGTGTGTGTGTCTGTGTATGTGTGTACGTATCATTAGAACAGAATATGTGTAGTTTCCCTGAGACCTCATCAAAAAACTTGGTATAAATTCGAATTCACATTCAGGTGATAAATGTCAGATACTAAGTTACTTAACAGTCATTTTTTTTAAAATCACATTAACTTCACGTTAAAAGTATAAACCAATATTGAATATGTTTCTTTACGGGTACTCTTTAGTAAGTTACCTGGAACTACAGTATTAGTTTACATGATTATGTAACAAAGAAAGATGACATGCAGATGTTCTGTATGTGTGTGGTTTGTATAATCTGAGAGGGGGTGGGAGCCCAAGGACTAAGAAGAGACATAGAGGCAGAGAGTCACTTACCGACGCCTAAAAGGGAGACCAGTTAGGTGATTAGGCGGGACGACAGGCAGCAGCCAAGATTGAGTGTAGACAGTGAAAACGGAAGAAAGGTAGATAGATGTAGTGACAGGAAGAGTGGTGAAAGAGGGAAGGAGAGAAAAGAAGAAGAAAACAACAACAACAATCACATGAAACATAAAAAACCCAGAGACAGAAAACACACTTTACCCAGTCACAGCTGTGAACAGGAAAACAGGAACTGAACAACAGAGAAATGGCACGATGACGGCTCAGATAGTCATCAACGGCACCCTGTTGCGCCATTTCGGACATACGTGACATTAAAACCTTTCAAACTCAGAATGCAGTCTATTAAAAACCATCATCATTTTTTAATAGCACAACCACAAAATCGAGATGCTTGTGAACTAGGAAAAGAGTGTATCTGAAGTAATGATTCTGGGAAATTGCTCACTCTTACTGAGCAGCAAATGAGAGCTTCGCTGAATGATGGCAGAGATTAATTTCCCAGCATCACTAACTTTGCCTCCGGTCTTCCGCTAAAATATCAACTGTTTTCCAGCTCCACCACAGGCAGTAGCTGTGAGTGGAAACATTGGCTGCTTCCAGGAACTCCCCTGTATCACCCCCCCACCACCACCACCTCCACCCTGTCCCTCCCAGATCCGGTGCAGTCGCCTTCCTGATGACAGTTTCCCCACAGACAATCTTCTCTGCGGCCCCCGAATACTAGGCTTGCCTTATACTGCATCCTGAAGCTGATGTCGTTGGCAAGGACAGATGCTTACCTTAATCTCTGTCACCAAGATATCGGTTATACTTCCCAGGACGGTCACAAAGTCAAACACGTTCCAGGCATCTTTCAGGTAGTTCTGAAAGAGACAGGAGAGACCGGTTCATGCTCCCGTAACTCATTGAAATATAACGGTGAAGAAACAGCACTGTGCTCTAATGCTTCTTCAAACACACTAACTATAACGGCTACATCCCAGTGGAAGTTTTTATAATGGTTCTAATGTGTCTAGTGGGCTGGAACAATGTGTCATTTGCAATGATCGCGACACACCGATACAGTGTCCTTGGTCATTTGTGTAGTGACAAGAACTAACAGCGAAATGCCGGCTAATACTCGCCATGCAGGTAATAAGTGAGCGGGTCATTAGGAGAAAAGGCACATTACACTAGCAGGCGTAACAGATTGCGAAGGAGAGCAGACATGGCTGTAATGAAACGCTGTGCAATGGGCACAGATGGGTTGTGCCGCTTGAAGATTTATTCCTGTGCAGAGCTCTGCATCGCTGCTCCCTGGTCCCACCACCGGGCGGCCTGACTCCATCGCCGCATTTGTCTCCTCATTTGCAATGCAAAATTCAGGAGCAGCCTTCACTTAGCTTGGTGCACACAGGACCGAAAATGACTCTGCTCAGGATTTTGTTCCTTGGTCAAAATAAGCCTTCTAGGGGTTCCAAGTAGCCCAGTCAGAAAGTCTCCTTTACTAGCATGGGCTGCACGGCTCAACCCTGTACGGGCCACTGTTGCAAAATTACAATATTACCTTTATAATACAGAAATTCTGCTTCCAGCTAGGCCCAATGATGCAATATTACAACATTTCCATAAAAACTAGCTAAAATAAAAAATTTGAAAAGCCTTTAATTTCTGCCAGAGTCTCTTTTTTATATTTAGGTTTTACAAGGTTAAACCATGGTCTAAATGCTGCTTACTGCCACCTATAGGGCGAGAGCTGCAGTACCCCACCAACTGGAGAATAGCTGAGCCAGTGGTTATAAACTAAAACCGAGTGGACTGGAGCATAAATTCTTCTAAGGATTTTCTTATTTTTATAAAGGTCACGGTAGAGCTACTTTTGAAAGCCCACAAGGGAAAAAAAAACAGGAAGCCATTCAGAAACGTCCCCCAAGACTGTGCAGTAACCTTATGCATGTGATCCGCTGACTGACAACTTCAATCATGCTAGTGTCAAACCCCTCAGTTAGGCTTCTGAGCACAATACAGCAGGGCATTATGGGTATCAATGACAAGGCAACCATAATAGGTCTTCTAACACCATGGATGGATGCTTTTTTGGTATAGGAACATTCTTTATGTATTCTTGTAAAGGCCAAATACGCAACGTAAACACCTTATTTAGATGTGCACTGCAGCAGATTCATAAATGGAGAAGTGAAAAGAATATGTGGCCAGTTATGCATTGTACTGCGGGTACCCACCAATGGACCGAAGCCAATCATTTTGAGAATGCACTCCAGAGAGAAAAGGGCGGTGAAGACGATGTTTAGATACTTGAGCATGGCCTCGTACAAATCCGGAGCTCCATGGAACTGCAGGAAGGAGGAAATGCTGATTAAATCATCCGGTCATGACAGCTCCATCTTCAGGTTTTTATAGAAATCCACAAAACAGCCTGATGCATTCCCAAGCATTCATCTTGCAGAATGCACCAACATATACAGAAATGCACTGGTGCATTTACCTATACAGTGGGGAGTTCATCCATTCTCAATTCAGTGCAATATATGACCTCTAACTATACCCCAAGAATACTCAAAACACACTAAACATAATAGCAAACAAGTCTGTGGCAGTTTTGCATATAAAAACAATGACTGGATTTTTAAAAAGAGGCAAATTACCTCACAAGGGCATCCGGACAAGATCTATCAAGCTTTGTGTGCTCATTTCCCCTGAACACCCTCTCAAGGTTAAGAAAGTAAAACTCGAAAACTCTCTCAACACCTCTAGGAATTTCATCAAAAAACCTGACTTTTCTGCCTAATGGGAGACAAAGCAGCCCCTGATTCTCTGCTGTGGCACTAAAATAAAAAGAGCAACTCAATATTAAAAATGATTGAAAAATGGAGACAGTACACTGGAAGTTCAAAACATTTTCTTTACATAACCTTCAACAATAACACTTGTGAAAACACTTTTGGTTCGGTACTGAATACACGTATGAGAAGGATGTACTGTAGCAGAAGAATGGAGGAATCTCTCAGGAATCCCTGTGAATGAAGACTGAGACGGCGAGCCGCTGACCTTCATCATGAGCACCACGGTGTTGAGGGCGATCATGGCCATGATGGAATATTCAAAGGGTGCCGATACCACAAACTTCCACATCTTGTACTGGAAGGACTGCTTGTTCTCAGGCATGTAGCGTGTCAGAGGCCTGGCGTTGATGGCAAAGTCGATGCACGCTCTCTACACGAGACGCAAGAGCACAGGTCACGTTCATACACACATCAGGCCAATCTCCATGCTTGCGTTTCTCTGTCACCTTCGTCTGCAGCATCTCCACACACTCATTTTGAAGTTGCCATCAGCTGTTTGACTTGTCTTGTTATATAGGCCAAAGTAGATGAAGAAATTACTCAAGATTTTTGCCTGTAAAGAGCTTGGTGTTTAGTACTGCCGCCTCGCGCCTAAGTTTACCTGCTGTGTCCCTCTGCCCTGTGTCAGTTAAGAGGTACAGTAACTGCAGCACAATTTATTTCTTGTCCACAGACATTCATCAATCCACTTTCTGAAACTGTTTCTCCAATTCAGGGTCACAGGGGGACTGGAGATGCAAAGCAGCGAACAGCCCTGGATGGGGAGCCAACCCATCACAAGGTACACACACACACACACACACACACACACACCATTCACTCACACACACACACCATTCACTCACACACACACACACACACACCATTCACTCACACACACACACACCATTCACTCACATATGCACACTTACATGCAACATGGCAACTTCAATGTGTTTTTGGACTGTGGGGGGAAACCAGAGTACCCAGAGGAAACCCCACAATGACACGGGGAGAACATGCAAACTCAACACATGTGGAGTCATGGCAAAACCTCGAACGCTGGTCCCAGACGTGTTAGGCAACAGTGCTAACCACTGCACCGCTGCATCCCGAGACACGTGAAACGTATTTCATATGCATTGGTCGTTACTCGCTCAGTTTTCCGCTCAGTTTATACATTTCTAATTCTTTCGAAATGCCACCACAGGTCACTGGCTTTCCTATTCAGACAGACAGGCACATGGTTAAGAGCAATCAGCATATATCTAAAAAGGTCAGAAAGATGCACTTAAGCTTAAACCGTCCATTGGAACCCCCTCAGTGGTTCAAAGCCAATCAAAGCCAATTTTTGTAATGTAAATTACAGAAAAATCACATTGCTACTATTTTTAAATCACTGCATTGGCTCCAAGATATTTTTAGCACTTAAAAGGACTTTTATGTGGTTATAAAACTCTAAATGGCTTAGGCCGAAAATGTTTCGTTGATATGTTTAAAGAATAGAAACCCAGTAGGTCTCTGACCTGAGCATGTGGGACCCAAAGCTAAACTCTAAAAATGGCCAAGTGACCTTTATCCATTATGCAGAAGAAGCTGGGACCAGCTCTCCAGGGACCTAAAAATCGTAACCATTTTTAAATCTATGTTTAATTATTATAAAATTATTAAATTAATCAATTATTATCAATTAATCAATTATTCATTGTATTTTTTTCATACTCTGTTATTCTATTTCCATTGTTTTCTTGCTTTATCTTTTTCGCTCTATAACTATTTCTTATGTTGTCTATGTCTGTATTATGTAAAGCACTTTGAATGGCTTCATGTATCCTCTATGAATAAATTTACCTTACCTTGCCTACATAGCTATAGAGATATGCGATTCACCCTGCGCCAAAAAATACTGCAGTACTTTAATTTGGTTCATATTTTTTTGTGAATGTGCCCACTGTGCAGTGGATGAGGAAATAGGTAAAGTCTCTACTCTAGTTTGAAACCAGATGTGCATGAAATGCATGCAAAACCACAATGCATATCTGTGATTTCAATGGATGTAAAAAATATCTGTTTTATTTATTTGTATTATGTGGTTATATTTGCATAGTAACAAATGTTACAGAAAACAGCTTCTGCTAAAACTTTCACTTGACCCTCAGGGGAAAAAAATGATCTGAATCAGACAAAGAACAGACCAAGCAACGCCCGGAACAACTGACTTGTGATGCACAGCTAATTAGTAAAACGTTCACCATTGCTTCATGTACTAATTTACACAGTGCAGAGGTAATATATTCTATAAACTGTTTGATAACCTAACAGAGCCAAAAGAATCTGAAAATCCTCTCTGTTGCAAATGATTAAAAAAAATCTGTTTAAAGAGTCTATCTAAGGTGCAGGTGCATGAAGCTGATTGATGGCTCTCTCGTAGCTCCATTCTTGCAGGCATTTGGTGAGTCATACTAGCTTAGCATATGGACAGAGGAGATTTATCTCCGCAGCCTCACACGGCAACTCGAGGTGCCTTATGGGATACGCGTGGAAATGAGGCGTACGCAGCTCATTGGGCTCGCTTCGGCGAGAAAAGGCCGCCGGAATCGATCCCGCCGTCAGCCTGCGTCTGCTGCCTGTGCAGGAACCCTGCAGTGGGGAATCCTGGCTGTGAAGCCACTGCCCAGACTGCATGCCGATGTCTGCACAGTGGGTCACATGCAAATGCACATCCAGAAGCAGACAATTCAGGTCCAGAAAGTAAAAATCCAAACCAGGATTTTGTTTCAACCAACCAGTTGAATATAAAGAGTCACAGTCACAGAGTATTCAGCTGGTCGGTTGAAACAAAATCCTGGTTTGGATTTTTGCTTTCTGGACCTGAAATGCCCAACTCTGTGCACATCAGATGAAGCATGTGTGTGGATTTCTTCTCTACCTTTCCAGTGGCCCTAGGCCAGGGGTCTCCAACTCCAGTCCTGGAGAGCTACGATCCAGTAGTTTTCTTTCCCTCCTGGCTTCTGATGAGTGACACCTGTTCCTGGCATTTACCCAAAAACAGGTGTGGCTCATCTGAAGCCGGGTTGGACAGAAAACCTACTGGATAGTAGCTCTCCAGGACCGGAGTTGGAGACCCCTGCCCTAGGCAAAGCTTCACTTAGGAAACCCCCCAGTCAAGAAAACTGATGTTTATTTTGCTTCCCCTGCCATGAAGGGAGAGTGACCACTCCTCCATATTTCGTCCAGACAGTCCGGTTTTCCAGGCCTCTGTCAGCTGCTCCTCTTTTTGCCCTCCCCCCCCCACCCCACTTCCCTGTCAACAAGCACAGCTCCTCCCCCCCCCGACTGCACAAAAAACGCGAAAAACATGCAGACACATGCTACAGAGTCTGAGGACGGCCATGCTTGCAATTACGATAACGAGACAAACAGTCATGCCATTGGTCACCCTAAACGCAGGTAATTCAGGGGCCCTAAGCCACTGCCGTTAGCTAAAGCCGGCCCTGCGCTCTCAACTTTTATTTAGTGATCAACACTTAACAAGTTTAATTCAGGATGACGCAGAATTTCATAACCTGACAATATAAGCCATGGTTAAGCTATTGAGCAGTGTCTCCCAATCCAGTCCTCAGGGATCCATAGCCAGTCCACATTTTTGCTCCCTCCCAGCTGCCAGCCGTGGAGCAAAAACACTGACTGTCTGCCGGCCTACAAATGGTACAGAGATACCCTGACAGGACGTACACAGGAAGGAGAGAGCTCAGCCTTCAGGTGGGACAGAGCAACATACCTCGTTTTTCTCCAAGCTGCACTGAGATAGTGCCTTGTCTCCCTGTTCCTGGAAGGTGATGATGATCAAGGCCACGAAGATGTTGACAAAGAAAAATGGGAAGACCACAAAATAAACCACGTAGAAGATGGACATCTCAATGCGGAAGCCTGGGCTGGGGCCCTGGTCTTCAAAGGTGGCATCTACGGAGTGTTTCAGGACCCTGGGCGAGGCGGGGAGACTGTTTCACCGGGGGAAAGGCACCAACTGACTCCTAATGTTTTATAATAACTGCACTACAGTTCTTAAAGGAGAACGCTATTTATACTTCCCATTATCAGGCTTAGCAATGCAAAAAAAAATAAAAAATCTATCGCATAACGTTTCTTGAAAAAATTCACCCGCTGACTAGAACAAAATCTAAGAGTATAACAGTAAAAGCTCTTCCAGACGTCATTTTGTCTCAGCATCATCTGCTGCATATTTTTCTGCATACTGTTTATGTTTATAAATAATTATGATTATCTATACAAAAAGTGTTCTTCAACCCACCTGTATATGAACTGACCAATGAAAATGGTATTTAATCATTCAAAATTATGGGAGATTCTTGTACATTTTTCTGGAAAAAATGTGATTTCTTATCTGTAGTAGCAAGGCTAAATCTCTTCTTAATCTAAGAACTGTCAGGGATAAAAAGCTGCACACCTATTCATTTCACGGTATTATTTGTCAATTAATAATGTATTAATCTGCTTAATTTTATTATATTTGGAGCACAGGGGGCTAAGGACAGGGGAAAAAGAATCTGAGCCGATACGGAAATTACAGGGCGGAGACTTTCCAGTGCAGAGAGCAGACGGGCCCACACACTTAGGCTTAATAAGGCACGACTCTGAACCAACTGCGGGAGTCTCCGAAGGCATCCTGGGCCGGATTCACTGGTGCTCCAGCGGTGCACCTACCTAACTAAGCACATGTCATAATGTAGCCGAAGATTTTTTTTTTAAAACATTCGTTAGAAGGAACTTCAAAAGCACAATGCTTCAAATGTGCTGACAGCAAAGGTCTGATCAAAGGTACCAAGACCAGAGTCAGGAACTGTTGGGGGGGGGGGGGGGGGGGCTTAGGTACAGGTAAACGGGCGGGAAAAGGAAATGGAAACAACTCTCTAATGGTCCTGGACTCCACACCCTAACAGGACTGCAGTGCTACACACGTATGTAAAGATAGGACTGGAGAAAATTTGCATTTTTTAGTACAGCAGAACACAAGACTCACGTGGGCCAGCCTTCTCCTGTGGACACGGTGAAGAGGGTGAGGAAGGCCCACAGCACGTTATCGTAGTGGAACTCATATTTCTTCCACTCGCGTGGCTGGGCGGACACTTCGTCGTTGTCGTAGTCCAGGAACTGCCCCCTGGTGAACGGGGGAGATGAAAAGGAAGCCTCAGAGACTAACGCAGTGGCAATAACAACACATTTAGCTGCAAATGAGAAACACATATGCAAATTACAGCAGATCTGCATATGAATGCTGTACTGTGAAAAATGCATATATAACAAAATGCACTTCTCACATGTGACTGACGTGTGTCCCATCCAGGGGCATCAGGCGGGGGGGGGGGGGGGGCTTACACATCCTGGCAGATTCGGGTATAAAGCAGTATATAAAGGCCCCAAATCCTACCAGGTCCCACCACTCAGCAAAATCTGCTGAGGGACCCATATTTCTGGGTGGGGGGCAGGTGACATTTTGTTAGGGGGCCTAGGATATTTACTTATGCCCCTGGTCCTACTTATGGCATAATATTGACATTTGTGACACCAAAAATACTGAAAATTATTATTTTTTGGCTGATCAACTTAACACCCCTGCCCCCCCTTCATAGGTTTAACATAGGTTTAAGGGATGCATATTATGCAAGTCAGCGCTGTGGATGATGACGGCCCAGGCTGCTGGGCTCTGAACCTGCACTGCACCCGTGTTGCCTATGAGCTGCCGGGCTCTGAACCTGCACTGCACCCGTGTTGCCTATGAGCTGCCGGGCTCTGA